ATATTGAAATCAGTGAATTGATTGACTCAATCACTCTGAGAAGTTTTTCTCTTCCACCAGAATTTCTGGGATTTACGTAAGAAGACAAGATATAAAAAGCTACCTTTAATTTTGGCTCTGGATCATGCCAGTAATCCTACCTACTCAGGTGGCTGAGATTTGAGGATCAAGGTTTGACATCAGTCCAGGCAGGAAAGTTTGAGAGACCCCATTTCCAAGTAAGCAGCACAAAGCTGAGCTACAAGTATGGTTCAAGTGGTAGAATACCAGTCTTGAGTATAAAGCCAAGTGGGAGTGTTATGCCCTGAATTCCTGAGTTCAGGAAGGAAGGAAGGAAGGAAGAGAGGGGAGAGAGAGAGAGAAAAAGACCATCTTTAGTGGTATATCTTTTTCAAACAGCTTCAGAAATGCACCCTTCTGAATTTCAGTGCATATGTCACTTCCACATATATATTTGCCTATCTTCATCTCAACCTTTTTTTTTAATACTGTTCTGGGTTTTAGTTGTTGTTGTTTGTTTGTTTGTTATGTCCAGTGAATACATTAAGCCTGTTGGAAGGCACATTTATGGTTTTGGACATCATGCAATTTGCTAAATGGTGTTCTGGCTATGGAAATGCTTGCAAAGAGCCCTGGGGAAAAAGAGAATTAAGTAAACACGTATTGATCATGCTGTACAGACTCTCTCTTATTTGATCAGCCAAGGGCGCTGTCTGCACTAGTCTATCTGATCTGTTATACTTAAAGCTGGAGACATTTTTCTGGCTCCCTGGTGGTTTTTAAAGGCTATGCAAGGGGAAAAATTGCTTTAAACAAAGTCTCATTTTAAGAGAAGTGTGAATGCAGGATGGAATTCAAAGAATGTGGAGAAAAGAGAGGTGAAAAGTGGTAGCAAACAGCTTAAAAAAGCCCTGGGAATTTAGAAAGAATAAAACATAACAGATAAAGACCACATGATCCATTGTGAGATAGAATGACACAGGAAGCCACTCTAGCCAGTACCTACTGAACACTACTGTGTTATAAGGCTTGGGGGAAAAAAAGCAAAAGCTTAAGTATTTGGATGTCCAAGGGGGTGAAATAGAATACATTGGGTCATGAAGCCAGTCCCATTTTGTTAGATGAGGAAAGAGGCTTTACTGTTATGGAGATGTTAAATGTCAAAATGGAATGGGATTATGCCATTAAATTCAAATACAAAGAGAAAGAGCACATCTTCCTTTGTAAGTCTACATTCTAACAAATTATTTAAAAATTAAATTGTACATTTGTTCATTCTCTTATTCATTCTTTGCTTAACATTTTGTGCTCGTACTGGGGCTTAACTCAGCGCCTCATGATCTCCCTTAGCTGTTTTGCTCAAGGGTGGAGCTCTACCACTTGAGTTGGAGATAAGAGTCCCACAGACTTTCCTGCCTAGGCTGGCATTAAACCTCAATCCTCCAATCTCAGCTGCCTAAGTAGCTAGGATTATAGGCATGAGCTACCAGTCCCTAGCTCTAAATATCATATTTAAAACACTAATACTATATTAAGTACAGCTAAAGAAGGGAAGATGTTTATTTCTAAAACTGGAAATAGTGGCCCTGGGCCTACAGCCTGTCCTTATTTGCTTTCTTTCTTCTCTGCTATTTCTAATTCTTGGCTAGGCTATGATTGCAAGTGACAGTTTTGTTATTCCTCTCTCCCCTCTTCACCATTCCAATGAATCAGTTGTCAAAAGAAAAGTAGGAGGGAAAAGGAGGCCAGAGAGGAAGTTTGAAGTCTCTGTATACAGATGATGCTCACCCTAGCCTAGGAAGAGGAAGGGCTGTCAGACATTTTGGTGTACTCTGAGATTGAGGCTGAGGGAACAGATGAAGCCAAGTTCATTAGTTCAGCTTCCCCTACAGTCTTGATGTAATGTCTCATCATGCCTTGAGGACCATTATTTGTTATAATTGAACGGATGGCAAGATGTTCTTACACATTATTTTTTTAAATTGAGATTAGGTGATTACATAAATTTCACATATTTCACAGTATTGTGGAATAGTGATACTTAGTTAAAGTCACAAACACATTTTACCCTTCACAAGGCAAATTGTCATTATCCTGGTTTATAAAGTTTATGAATTCTATAAGCTTTGACAATACAATTAGATGATATTTACATTTCCTTCCTTTTGCTTAGTGTAAGCTGTTCCCTCTTTATTATTATTAACTGATTATGCAGTTGTTATTTTATAGAACTCATTTTTTTGCATGAGCTCAAAGCTTTTTTAGACTCTATGACATAGAACACTACTATTATTTTATTGCAGTACTGAAGATTTAACTTAAGATTAACTCAAGGCCTTTTGCTTGCTAAAGAAAGTCCTCTACAGCTTGCGCCATGTCTGCAGTCCTTTTGTTTAGCTTCTTTTCATACAGGATCTGGCATTAGCCTTAACTTGAACAACTTGTGACTATGGTGTTCCTACCTCTGTCTATGGAGTAACTGAAACCACAAGCATAGCTTACAACACCAAACTTGTTTTGAGATAGGGTCACTTTAACTTTTTCCTGTGCTGGCCTCAAATCAAGGTCCTCCTATCTCTGACACCCAACTAGCTGGAATTACAGGTATATGACACAACATTGGGCCCAGAATATTATTATTATTATTATCTTCATAGTAATGAGATTATTGAATCTCAGAGAGATTAAATTACTGTCTAAAGGTAATATGTACAGCAAAAGGTACAGCAAGGACTGAGCTCAGACAGTATAATTCTAAGATTTTGAATATGCTCACACAAAAAACAATTGATCAGAGGATCAGAATTGTTCAATAGCTATGTACATATGACCATCCGGTGGCTCACACCTGTAATACTAGCTACTCAAGAGGCTGAGATCTGAGGATCACGGTTCAAAGCCAGCATGGACAGGGCAGGAAAGTCTGTGAGACTCTTATTTCCAATAAACCACCAGAGAACTGGAAATGGCACTGTGGCTCAAGTGGTACAGCACTATCCTTGAGCTGAAGAGCTGAGGGACAGCACCCAGGCCTAGAGATCAAGTCCCACAACCAACCAACAAAACAAGAAAAAAACGATACTAATCAAAATGAACTCCAAGATATGAAAAGAGAGATTTTTTGTTTTTTGTTGTTATTTTTTAGTGTACTGTTTGCAGCTATTTCTTTTTTCTTTCATTTTTTTCCTTTGGATTATTCCCTTTGTCTTACATAAGTTCATCTGATTTGGGGAAGGGAAGGGGAATCACAAAAATGGTGGGACAAAGGACAAAGGGTAAACCAATCCAACAGTCATACTCACAAAGGCATTATGTTGGAAATGAACTTTTCACCTTGGCAGGGAGGGGAATTAGGGGAGAGGGAAAGCAGGAGAAAATGAGGAAGAGGATAACACTGAAAAGAAATGTACTCATTACCTTACTTATGTAACTGTAACCCCTCTGTGCATCACCTTTACAATAAAAATAATTAAAAGAAAGAATTGAACGTAATAAGTAACTATATTTACTAATCTTGACATCTACATTATGCGTTGTTTTCACGCTACACATCCCACGTTTTGGGGTGTCATTTTATTATTTTCATTTTGATATAACGTGCTATGGCTGATTATGAGAAAGGTCCTTTCATGAGAGGAGAACTCTGTCACTACCAGGAAACATTTGGCAATATCTGAAAATATATTTGATCATTTCACTGGAGGTGTGGCTGTCACTAGAGTCTGGTAGAACCATGTTAAGGATGCTGCCCTGGCATCCTGTATGGGGTAGGACGGTATCCCAAGGAGGACTGAATTTTCCAGTGCAAAGTCCCTATGGTTAATACCCTGGCTTAGAGTAATTTAAAGAATCTGAAAGAAAAGAGAGTAGTGGCTTTGTCTAACAATCTAGAAACATTAAGGATGAGGAGGCAGGTTTAGCATTGGGAAAGGTGCTGAGGTGGATCCATTAGTTCACTCAATTGTTCATTCATTTGTAGAGTCTGTGGAATATTTCTTCCTTCTTCTAATCTTTCTTTTTTCTTTCATCTACCTTTCTTTCATATATATATATATGTTTTTTGGGGGGGTGCTGGGAGGGGAGGGAGCTTGAACTCAGGCCCTCATCCTCTGGCATGACTTTTCTGCTCAAGGCTGACATTTTACCACTTGAGCCACACCTCCACTTTTGACATTTTGTTGGATAGTTAGAGAGTCTATCAGATTTGTCTGACTGGGCTGGCTTCAAACTGAGCTTCTCAGATTCTCCCAAGTAGCCAAGATTATGGCATGAGCTACCAGCATTGAAGGAATGATTTATGTCAGAAATTGAGCTGAATAGTAGAAATCTGGAAATTAGAGTTGGAAAGGTTCTCTCTCACCTCCCCCCCTCTTTCTTTCCATTCATTCATTTCTTTATGTTCATTATCTTTAGTCATACAAAGTGGTTTCAATTCAACATGTCAATGTATGACGACAATGCATCTTTATCAGTGTCACTCCTTCCATCATTTTCCTACTCCCATCTGTCCCAATCCCACCCCACCTCTCAAAAAGCTAGAGCTGTTACAAGGTAAGCTTGGGAGAGTTGTACGTTACCATGACTAAACGATTTTATTTTATTAGGAAGGAAGATGGTATATTCTTGCATAGGGGTTAGGATAGTGAATGTGGTCCAGGACACATTCAAAACCAGTATGATTTGACCAGGAGCACTTGATAACTTCTTTTGTCCCATTCATGGCTGACTTTTGTTGGTGTCCAAAAATAGAGTCAAAATGGGAAAGCAGTGATGCTGTTAGAGGCATCATTTAGCATTGGTGTAGGGATGTGTGTGTGTGTGTGTGTGTGTGTGTGGTTGTGATTGTGGATGGGTGAAGAGAGAAGCTTGCTTGCTTGCTTTCAAGTTACATTGCTGGCCTGGGAACAGGTGTGCGTGCGTGTGTGTGTGTGTGTGTGTGTGTGTGTGTGTGTGTGTGTGTGTGTGTGTGTGTTTCCAGTAACAGCTCTTTCTGTTTGCAGCAGTCCTATGCACCAGCTCCCCACCCCATGGCTCCTCCCAGCCCCAGCACAAACAGCAGCAGCAACAACAGCAGCAGCAACAGCAGTGGGGAACAGTTGAGTAAAACAAACCTGTACATTCGAGGCCTTCCACCAGGGACCACTGACCAGGACCTCATCAAACTGTGCCAACCGTAAGTGTCTCCAGGTGCTCTATGTCATTTCTCATTTGCATACTGTCAGTGTGGGCAGCACTGGGGACCACAGCAGGGGGCCCAGTCCTGGAGTCTCAGGAGAGGAGGCCTATGCCATACAAGAGGGAATGGATTTGATCTGTAACTCCCGCTGACTACAGGGAGTGGGGTTTGTTGCATTGCTCTGAAAGTGAAGGTTTTGAGCAGACAGGTGTAGATTGCTGGTGAATTCACATATGTTGGGAATCTCAACCATGTGGTTGATGAGGACAAGGGTGACTTTACTATACTTGAGTTAAATTAATGAAAGTTGACGGCAGGATAATGGTTTCTGTGTTCAGAGCTTTTCTGGTTAGTTTTTGTTGAGTGTAGATTCAACCAAGACCATGTAATAGAATTATAAATTCATTCTTCCAGCTACCTTGAAACATCCAAGTCTAGTAAGCTGTCTCCCACCAAGATCAAGAACAGGAGTTTTATATATCCTAGGAAATGTGGAAATAATTAATTTCTCTTTCAAAATGTTTTACCCATCTGTTGTTTTCTACTGGCACTTATGTTATTGGCTGTGCAAATACATTAAAATATTTGCACATATCCTCTAAATAAAATTAATATGGAACAATGAATTAATCATAGACTTGTCTTTTTTTAGATTGTTCTGATTTTTTTCTTTCAAAATACTATCAGTAGAGATATTTGTCATTTGTCCCTTAAGTGAGTATTTTTTAATTTGGGGAAACAATTACTCAGTGGTCCTTCTCTTTTGTTACAAGAAGGATGACACAGTATTTATTTTTGTAAAATGTCTAACCTCCAGCATATGAGAAGAGGAAAACACAATTGATGATATTTACTTGTTTCTATTCTGGGTTGTAACAATAGGAGTTCATAGCAAAACACCTAATTAGCAGATGGACAGAGGCACAAACATATAACTCAACCAGTTGACAATGCTGAAGATGTATTTGGGTCAAGAAATCCTGTTGCTACTGACGGCCTTGATTAATGCACAATTAAAGCAGGACCCTCCAAACAAGTATTAATTTAGGGGGAAAAAGTTGCTCTTTTGAAATAAATGTTAAAAGGCATATTAAAAAAGCATGTGAATGTATGTTAAGTTTTGCTAACAAGATATTGAGGTTAAGAATCAGAAGATAAATGATTCAACTTGTTGTTAGAAAAGGATGAACTATTTTGGAAATTAAGGTCTTTGAACATAAGAAAGACAGGAGACTTTATAATAAATTTCCAGGTGAACTATCTCAACACATGATGATGGAAAAAAATAGGCAGTCATGGTGAGTTGAAGCAGTTCTGATGGAACCAACAGCTAAATATCTCAGAATTTTGTGAATGATTTGTTAAAGATTTGGTGGATCAAGTTGGAAAGAGTTGGAGTATTTAGGACAGGAGAACAAATCCTATCAATCAGGGCTTTTTAAAAACTCTTTTACTGGAGAACTGTTTTATGAACATACTACTGGTATAGCATCATACCATAAATCAGTCAACATCTACTTCTGTGAAAATTGCCAGAATTTTATAAATTGAAATATTACCTAAAAGGCTGGTTGGCAAGAAAACTCTGTGGTGACCCAAACCCTGTTATTTAGTATAGAGGTTTTGCTAATGATTCTTATGTGCAATTGAAAAATTGAAATAATGGTAAGGGAACAGAAACACAGTTATCTGTTCACATTATTCTTTGCTAGCTAAAAACAATCTGACCCATGTTACCATTATTGTAAAAATCATTTATGGGCTCTCGAGTTACTCAAAAATAATCAAGGCCTCGTGTTTATTGCTTAGCTGACTTTTTCTAGAGAAGCTTCGAACTCTGATGCAATTGTGCAACTAAAATAAGAATGAAATGCATCATATCTGTAAATATAGATAGCAAAACTCCCCCAAAGGAGTTGAGTAATAGGAGATAAAGGGAATGAGGAAAGCACGAATAAGCAAGACAGTCATTCTGACTAAATACTGAATATGCATGTGTGAAATACTGTGGTGAATCGCCTATGTACCATGAACCCACATTTAAAAGGATGACAAGAATGTTAATCAGATGTTTTCTGGGGAATTGGTAGCTAGTGAGAAGGGGTGAGTGAATGGGAAGGGCACTATGGGTGAATATTATTACAGTACTTCACATCCATGTATGAAAAATCTATCAATGAAGCTTATGGAGATTGATTTCAGAAGGAAAGAGTGGTGAGTCAAATCAAGGTCCAATGTATGCATATATGGACATGTCAAAACAAAATCACCCCCTCTGCCCCGGTACAACGAATTGATGCTCATAAAAGCATGGACAGAAAAATAAGGAAGTACTAAGACACCTGGCTTTCAGTTCTGGTTGTGCCAGTTGGTCTGTGGCCTTAGACAAATGACTCCTCTCCCCTTAACTTTGTTTTCTCTCATATATAAAAAATGGATTGGAATTTGATAATCTTGTGTTGATTTAACTTTAAAATTCTGACACGTGATTGGAACTTCATTTTTTACTGTTAGTATCTGTTCCAAAACACTGTTTTGATCTTTCTCCAATCTTCTGCTTAAGGCTATAGCCAGGTTATAGCTTGTACTAGAGGGTGACGTATGGCTAGAAGTTCTTTGGGTAAGAGATCTCTGTAGGCCATTTGGCAATTTCTTCCCCTCTCAGATAATGGTGGTCTCAGATAATGGTGATTTCTTTTTGTATTCATGATCTTATAAAGATTAAAACCATTTGCATTCCCAAGACTTATTCCACATTTCAAAATAATTATAAGACAGATATTGGTAGCTGCAGATGAATTTGTCATCTGGATAATTATTCATGTTAATGTTTGTGCATTTGTAAGTACGTTGAGGGTTAATGCTTTAATTGTAGGAAACATAATATTTCCTATGCTAATATTCATGCTAATAAAATGAAAGAAATCAGAGATACACAAAAATGCATGGGTAGGTTGAATTTTCTAACATTAGTATACAATATCCATATTAATGCTAATAAACAGAAAGAAAATGAGTAGAAACTGCATAGTTAGTCAGTGAATAATGTGAAAGAAAATCTTTATTAAGAAATTCTAGTCTGGTGTAGGTGCCTCATGCCTGTTATCCCAGCTACTCACTCAGGAAACTGACATTTAAAGGATCTCCTTTTGAAGACAGCCTGGGCAGAAAATTCTAAGAGATCCCATCAACAAGTAACTGGCAAAATGCTATGGTGGAGTTGGGGTTTGAGTGGTAAAGCTCCTGCCATGAGCAAGCAAGCCGAGAGCACAAGGTCCTATGGCAGAAAAAGAAAAACTGTATTTAGCTTTGTTATCTAAACGCAGATGTTCAGACTGCAAACGAAATCAAGGAAGACCAGACTGAAGAATAATTAGTAGGAAGAATAATTTCATGCTAAGGAAAATACATTGTGCATTATGTGTCTGGTATTGTATAAATACATGATGTATACACTTAGATACTTTATAATATCTATCGTGAGGAACTTTAAGGAACCTATTAAGTCTTCAACCAAGAAATATTTACAGAGCAACTGTGGTCTGCCTATGCTGAAGATCTGATGGTGAGATAATTTAGACAAAGCCTTTGCTTTAAAGGTAATGTCTAGTCTGATGAGGAACATAAATGCTGATTAATCATGTGATTTGTAATAAAATTGAAAATGTAAGTACAAAATAAGAAAGAATGACAGTGAGATAGTTTCAAACATAGCATTAGACTAATCATCTAGGGAAATGTCACTTAAGCTGAGATCAGAGGATGAATAGGTTTAAGTGAGGAAGGAAGAGAAGAGTATTCCAGGTTGAGGGAAATTCATGTACAGAACCAGTGGCTGGAGGGAGCATAGTTAGGATAATGAGCTGGAAAAGGTCAATGTGGCTGTAGCAGGGCGAGCGAGTTACAGGGAAAAATGGGCTAGAAATGTGAATAAGGAAAAATGACTGTTTTGTACATTATGTTAGAAGCTTTGTTTTATCTTAAGAAACCATTACATTGCCATAAGCAGAAAGCAGAAGGAGAGCACCGTTCTATTTTGGCTTCAGGAAGGTAACTCTAGATACAGAATTAAAAGATGAGACCACTTGAAATCCAGGAACATTCAGAGGAGGTGTAGTTGTTAGATGAGCAATTAGTATTTAGAGAAGACCATTCATGAACTAGCAGTTGTGGTGATGTGGAAAAGGATGCATTCTTGTCCTATGCATGTGTTTTTTAATTAGAAAATGAAGACTTGAGAAATAGTTATTTGAATACCGTTAAAGCACAGCAAAGTAGTTGGGTGTTAGTGGCTCCCACCTATAATTCTAGCTACTCAGGAGGCTGAGGTCTGAGGATCAAGGTTTGAAGCCAGTCAGGGCAGGAAAGTTAGTGAGACTCTCATCTCCAATTATGCACCAAAATTGATAGAAGTGGAACTTAGGGAATGTGCTCAGACCCTCCAGACCCAGAGTTCAAGATCCAGGACTAACAACAACAACAAAAAGACAGGAAGAAAAGAAAAAAAAGCACAGTGGAAAAAATAGAACCCAAATTGGTTGAATTTTAGTTAATCCCTTCTCCTTACTCAGTCATGAAAAGGACTACAGTATACTGCCAATCATTTAGTGACTAGAATATTGAAAGTACTCAAGGCCAATAAAGATTAAAGCTCTAGTTGATTGAAAGATATGTCCAGGGGATGGACTATCAGCTGGAATTCATGGTACACACATTGATCACAATTCCTTTCTGCTTATCACTAAGTGGAGCAGATGAGAGTGGGAAGCAATAGATTCCTTTTTAACAGAAGGAAATGGGTTTTCACCTTTGTGGGGGGGTCAATTAAGCTTATGTCATATGATGATTTTCACGTTTTAAATTATAATTGGTAATACTTTTTACATGATTGCAAATGTGTCCTTAAAATGTAAATTACTCTTAAAAATAAAATTAAGCCCAGTATCAGTAGGCTAATATCTATAATCCTAGCTATTTAGAAGCCTGAGATCTGAGAT